TCCCAGGTAGAGGAGGGACGGATACTGTAAATCCTTGCGGAATTAAGCCGGGGATCGAACCAACGACCTTTGAGTTAAGAAACCGATGCTCTACTACTGAGCTATTTTCCCTCCCTCTCAGCTTCATTTACATGGTTTCCAGCTTTCCTTACGACCAATTCCCCGAGTGAGTGGGTGACATACCCACTCAATGGTCAAATGCCCACTCACTCAAGGAATTTGGTACTATTGACCTAAAACGTCCCTGAGTAAGTGGGTGGGACTAATTGCTTGCTACGTACGATAAGTACAATCCTATCGTTAACGTGAAACACAAAGGCATACAACGTTGTACACAGTTAATCGTACCATCGGTGAATGCTACGTACTGTAGGGGAGGCAGTTTTTCACTAGTGGTGTTTTGGGGTTTTGCTCACGGATGTTCAAGTAGAGTTAGACATGGGGCTTCACTCATGGTTAAATGGTGTGGTGGAGTTTTACTTAGTGGGCATTGCTGGATTGTTGCTTCATAGCCAAGCAGCCCAATAAGTGTAATATCACTCCATCATAGCTAACGTAAAACAAGCAAACAAGCCGTGGGCCCTATATCTTTGCGAAGGTAATCGTAGTGTTGTCACATGTCATTAGCTAAATCCTACATAAGCGCGCAGCGTTGCACCAATAAGCACGTAGCTATCCCCTGTACTTCTTGCATTCATTTCATCAACATAACGTTAGCTATTTCCGCGACTAGCCTCTTATATGGACATAAATATACAGAAATATCCCGTGACCATTCCGCGACCAGCCCCTTAAGGGCAAATGGTACGCAAGGTGTGATAGTTTAACAGCCATGAAAATGCGAATTACAGCACTTGGATAGATCCCATTTATTGACGCGCAACGCTACGACACGAAAGACTTGGCACGATGTATTGTCCTTGTAGCGTTCGTTACCTTATTAATTTGTCATTTTGATGTGTTGAATCAACGGCGTCATTTCTCATTGATGAGCATTGTTGCACGTTGCGAATGGTCAAGTATCGACCCGCAGAGTCATTGTTTGCTACTATACGCATAGTATTTGATTGTGTATGAGAATATGACAAATTTATTTATTGCAGTGATTTCCTGAGTGCTCAGCTCTGCAGCAATACTTAGTAGCTCCAATAAAAACATTGCTTGCATTATTTGATGGTTAGATTGTAGCAGCATTTGTAGTTTTGATCACGGCCACTCGAGATTATTTCCCGAAAATTATGTTTCACTTGATTTTCAAACGTTTGATAGTTAAAAATTTATAGTTTGAAGTCTTGATTACCTCCCGTTCTACCGACAGTAAGGTGTATGTGTTTACTAGCGATATACGATAGTCATAATTGACAGTGAGCACTTTACGAAATTCTAAACGAAAATTATCGCTGAATAAGTGAAAAAACTGCAGTACATGTAGGGATAAGTGAAGGGAGCTGGTACACGGTGGTAATATGGTACTGATTTGAGGTGTAATATTACTTGGGATTGATTGAATTCTAGTTGTCCCCCCTCTTATTTTACTGTTCAAAGTCCTTCCCCCTTGACTACATTGAATTCTAGACTGTACTATGAGGGGGCGCGAAGATGCATTCATAGCGCAAATACACAGCAAATCAACCTGCAAATCTCACAGCATTGCATCATATTCTGATTAAAGCTGGGATTTTTTGAAGTCACTATATATTGTTGGCATCATCCCCTAAAGTTAACAAGGTTTCGAGGTTACGATCTCCGGAGAATTGACATCGATACTACTACAGTGTAATTCGCAAAGTGCTATGGAGATTGTATGTATTCACTTCCTCATCCACAAATCACCTAACAGCTCCGCGGCATCTTGTACCGATTGTCCCCTTTGGCCTCGATGATAACTTGCATAACACGCTGGAGAGTCTTGAACGTCTTGTCCAATTTCAGATGGGAAAGCTTCGAAAACGCTTCCTTCACGGCACCAATGAGCTCTTCCATCGTCTGACATTCCAGGGCTTGCTGCAGCGCTTGGATGGAGTTGAAAAATCCCAGATCCAGGACATTCAGATCCGGCGACTGTGCAGGTTGATTCTGGATCTGAATGTCCCAGTCTCCATCTTGGGGGGCGCGCATTGTCTTGTTGGATGACGATTGTTCGCCGTGCATCGTCTGCTGGCCACTTCCACTTGTCTTTGATGGCAGGCACAACGAAGTCCACGAGGAGTTTCCGGTAAACGTCCTTTGTCACGGTCACAGTCTTCAACACTTCTGTTCCAGCAGGTCGGTTGTGGCTGCTCCGCTGCGCCGGCACGCGTTCAACAATTTCCCAGCAGCCAATCTTGCCATCCCAATCGTCTCGCGGCCGGGCAACCGCGACGAGAACACATGACCTTGGCGATGTGCGATTTGGACTGTAGGTGTCGTGGCATGATCGTCTCGTCGCGCCACACAAGAAAACGACGGCGCAATTTGGTGAGGTAAAACCACTTTTCATCAACATGAACCACGTTAAACATGTCATCAATGCTATTGCTACCTGTAGTGATGGCACTGCAGAAGTCCAGACGAGCTGTTTTCTGGTTGTCCTTCAGGTATGGGCGTGTCAAAATTGATCGGGGTGTCATCCATTTCTTTCTCACGTAGGTCCAGACGAGAAAAACGGACAGTCCTGTCGCTGCTGCGAGAGATCGGTACGTCTGCCGCTTGTGAAGCGGAACGGCCTTGACACGCTGTTCCACCTCGTAAGGGGAATACGTCGGTCGCCGCCCGGTGTTCCCTTGATTCGCGCTGTCACATTGG